GCCCCCCCCCCCCCCCCCACGAAGCAAGTGTTTCTTTATTTTTTACTTGGACCTAACTTTAAAAAAGGCATTACCAAATTTTGCAGGTGGGGTTCTCCCTCTGGAGCAGGCTCCTATAGAGGGGTCCCCCCAAAGCCCTGGAGCACCCCCTGGCTTTTGGTGTGCCCAACTTCAGCTGCCAGCAAGGCCTACAAATGAAGTCTTCTGCTGGCCAGTCAAGGTGTTCACGGTGCCCACTGCAAACGTCAAAACCTCCAGATAGGACTGGATTTGGCATGCCCATGTGGCCATTGCTGGGTCATGACAGGAGGGAGGAGCTAGTGGGGAGGGGGGCTGGCCCGTGCTGCAAACTGTGGGCATTTTGGCTGTATGCCGGATTTTCAGAGGAAGCCCTGGGTGCCCCCCCCCCATGCAACAGCAGTTCATAAATCCAGCCCCTGAAGTACTGCTACTGGCTGCTCTCTCCAAGGCATTGCCCCCCAGGCCCTTTTGCCCCCCCTAAAACATGAGCTTTGCTCTGAGCGATGCCCTCCCCCCTCCCCACTATGCTGCAAGCACAGCACAGCAGGTGGGAATGAGAGACCCCACATAAGCATGTCATTTAAAGAAAAGCCGCTGGAAGAATCAAAGCCCACTGCTCCACGTCCTGTAACAAAGGCGATGCTCCTTTTTCTCCTGGAGCTGAGACTCAAAAGGTACACTGCGTCTGACCCCTGCAGGCAGTTTCATGGATTAAAACGCTCTTACGTCACGTTCCTTGCATGGGACAGAGACGAGTGGAGAGCTCTGACGCGACCAACCTGACAGAGGAGTTCCACCCAAGAAAGCAAAACACAGAAAGCCTGACGATTTCATTGTTTATTTTTTCATGTCTGATATTAACTGAAGGGCCCGTGGCAATAAAATTAATTCGTGCAATAAGAAGCCGAAACTCACAAACTGGCCACTTTCACATACAGCAGAGAGGAAACACCCTGTTGAGAGGACCTGGGAAAGCCTCACATTTGGCCAACGAGGGAGAACAAATATTGTCTAGTAATCAAGTTAGCAGCTGTGAAAAATAAAGTGCATTTGGCTACAAGGGTGGTTTCTCAAGAAAACAGGAGCTCTGTCCTTTAGGGTGTGGCAAATTGGCTACCGGAATACGTCTCCTAGTCCGCAGCAGCTGAAGTGCTACCGAGCAAAAGAATTCGGCCGGGTTGGTTTTATGGGGAACCCAACAGCTTAGTTACTCCAAGTGGAGACTCTGCTGGGGGAATCAGGAGAGGGCAGCAGATCCTTACAGGGGCTCTCTCCCGTTTTAGTGGCCTCCGCTATCTAGGGGCCATTTCAAAAGTTCTACAAAGAAATCGTGCACAATCGACATCTGAATGATCCCATCCAGCGAACACAGAAAAGGAGGGTTGCTACAGCGAACCAACTGTGGAACCCCCAACTGGGGCAGGTGTCCCACTCCCATCTGCATGGACAAAAGGGGCTTCCACGCTGAAATTTTTGAAACATGTGAACTGGCCATACGAAGGCTTACTTACCCTTATACACACAATATACGTAGCGGCCAGCCAAGATACACAGGGGAGGAACAGGACCCAGTAAGCTGACCCTGGTCCCTGGCCAGAAGGTACCCAATGTGGCCCCCGTAGTTTCTGTCCCTGTTATCCAGGGACAGGTCCAGAACTAGGTGACATGGCATGTCTGGGCAAATATACATAGGACAGAATGGGGGGGGGGCGGACACTCACTTGCAAGCGGGGTGGGAGGGGCAGGGTGCTTGTTCATACGCCTCACCTACATGCATGAACTCTGCACAGAGGTCCACTGGGTTCTCTGGACTTTTTCTCTCCTGCAAGTTAATACAGGAGGAAGAAGATAAAGGGAAACAGCTCTTCTCAACCGACCACCTTGACCAGCTCCCTCTTCTCCTGCGGCATTAATCCACCTCCTGCAGTCACATTGAAACTAAAGAACCTATTAAACAATTTTTTTTAAAGCAATCCACCATAGGGTATTTTCACTCTTTCTTTGCAAATAAAAATATGGACACTGCAAAGGGACCCAAATCCACTACAGTCTGTTAGTTCTCTGTGCTCTCCTAGAACCAGGTTGGTGCTAATTGGAGGGGTGTTTCCATAGGGCTACATTCTGGAACCTTCTCTCTGGGCATTTCCCATCCCCTCCTCCTGTACACCGCCCTGTGGCTTTCAGGCCCAGCAGGTGCTCAATACCTAATTCAGCAGTATTTACTACAACTCTGCAAACTACGGCAAGGGTATGTTGGCTACAGAGAGGAGGCAAATTCAAAAACTAATTCAAGATTCAAAAACTTTGCTCAAGGAAAAGGGAATTTACTTAAGAGCAGGACAGAAGGGAGGGAGAGAGTTCACCTCTCGTGTTCAATACATCTGTTGATGCAAACCTCTTTGTCTCGCAAGTCAAAATCAACTTCATTACATACTTGGGCATCCTGAACACATCCAAGGATTTACACCAGCCCTTGGGGTTGGCGCCTCCTCCACCATTTTTGGGCATCTCATAGTCCGCAGCCAGGAATCCTCCAGCTCTCTTCAACTGTAGCTGGGACGAGCCTGGAGAGGCCTCTATCACCAAGCAACCAGGAAGTATTCCTTGTCTTACCAGGTAACCAGGAAGCACCCGTGTTATCAGGCAAACAGGAAGCACATGTTAAAATTCATTCGCCTCCCGGATGAAGTGGGCACCACACCATCCAGCCAAAATGGAATCACGTTTATTTCTCTCTGATTTCAACGGAATAGAGGCGTAAACTTGGGCTGAAATCCATTCCAGTGGGACCAAGCTGACTTAAATGTGCTTAGCTCTGGCTGGACCGTGCCCTTGCCTCACAGAACAAGTGGACTAGCTGCTTAATGAACAAAAAGCAATTCATTTTTCGACATCGGGGGGAAAGAGGGAGAAGTCCAGAATAAATTTCAACCCACACTAGACAGGATTTGGGTAGGATTTGGTTGCCTCGACATTTCATTGGCGACTGAAACAAAAAAAACGATGAAGGGACCTCCGGACCTCGTCAGGTAAAGGTATCAAGACTGACACACCTCCTGCTAAATTCTGAACTTAAGATCCCTACCGGGAAGAGACAGGATGCTAAAAGGAAGAGGAGAGAGGATTATCATGCGGAGAGGAAGCTGGAGTCTCTCGGTCGCGTGGCAGAAAGGGGGACTGCCCAGCGACTAGCTTCTGCGTGTGCCCCTGGGGGGGGCTTCTCATCGCCAAGAACGGTTTTGCACCAGCAAGTGGAACACGGGGTGAGGGACGGCCGCCACCCCCTTCGCCGCTTATCTGCTCTGCTGCAAATACTGGTGGATGAACATGTTCAGCTCGCTGTCCAGCCACCCGGCCTTGTTCCTGCAGAGAGGAAAGAGGAGAGGAGAGGAAGGTCAGCTTCTCGACAGCAGCCGGACACCAACACTTGGCAACACCAGAACCGTCACAGGCATCGCCCCGCAGCACCCCTGGCCCATGGCAGAAAGGGAACAAGAAACGGCAGCAGAGAAGGCGGCCTGTCACCTAAGGGACCGCCTTTCCCCATATGTTCCCCCAAGAGCACTACGGTCTGGGGCGCAGCACCTACTGGTGGTTCCAGGCCCCAAGGACATCAAGCTGGCCGCAACCAGGGCCAGGGCTTTCTCGGTGGCGGCTCCTGTCTGGTGGAACGAGCTCCCAGAGGAGATCCGGGCCCTGCGGGACTTGGCACAGTTCCGCAGGGCCTGTAAGACGGAGCTCTTCCGCCACGCCTTTGCATAGGAGTCATCGTCGCCAGTGCCACCACTGAGTTGCCATCTATGACGGTGGATTAGATCTATAAGTGAACCAGCCCTGGGAAGACGCCTAGGTGACCAAGAACCTATGTTGT